AAAAAGAAAAAAAAAAAAAAATATAGTACAAAAACCATAATAGAGCGGCTACAAATGCAATCAGAGTTTCTAGCTCGGCTACTGTTAAGTATATATTTTTATACTTTATCGTACCTTTTTATTTGAGCTTTTGGTGTGATTTAACGATAATTGGTGCTTAAAAAGTTGATTTATGGAATTCTAGGTACAAATTGATGAATTGGAAAAGTTTGGGGTCAAAACTGCAATTTTGAAGAAAATATGGGCCAAAAGTGAAATAATCAAAAATCTGAAGGAATTGGCACGGCACGGCCGTCCCAAATTTACACCTAAAAAATGCACGGCCGTGCCGAAAGCAGAATTTGGGCAGAAGGTTCGGCGATTCTCGCGCGGCCATGCTAGAATTGCACTGATTTTCGCGCGGCCGTGCCAAATCACGCTAGAGACAATTTTGGATTTTTAAACACACAAGGAAACCTAGAATCATGTACCAAGTTGGGACATCTATTTAAGCCCAAACCAAGCACGAATCAAGGGACTTTTGACACAACCTTGGAGCGAGAGGAGCGAGAGAACGAAGAATCGAAGACGGAGAATTGACAACTCTTCATCACAATTTTTCTTTTATCTATATTTTCTTAATCTATTATTTTTATGTTTTTATTATGTTTTTCGTAGAGAACATGCGTAGCTAAGTTTTTAATCTAGGATTTTGTTGGAACCCTATGTAGGGATTGCGAACCATTTTTCTTGAGATTATGCAATTATGATTTTATGATTATTTCTTCTACTTGTTATGATTGTTAGTGCATGAACTTGATCAATTTATGTGCTTTATCTGTGATTATTGGGATTGACTCGACAGAGCTATTTTGATAATTAGACGGTAAGTAGAAGAGCCTTCGAGTAGTTTTCACCGGATGAGTGTGTCAATTGCATGTGGTGTCGTAGACATACATATATCACCTTAGGTAGCCATTTACGAGACTTGTTAGTTAATGCTTTATTCATAATTTGTTTGCATAGACATATAGTGAACCGTTTATGAATAATAGACTCATAATACACGCGACAGCGGTTATGAGTAAATTAGTGTCTCGGGTTAACAATCATGAATCATATATTTCATAATTGAGGGGTTTTGGGTGAGCGATTCTTGCATAGGGGGAAGATAAAATCCTAGGTCCGTTTTTATTGATATTTTCTCGTGTTTATTTGCTTTATTAATTAGTTTAATTATTTAGTTTATTAAATTTGACAACTTTGCGTAGGCTGGATAAAAATCATAATTGTTAGAAGTTGGTACTTAGGATTAGATAATTTGAGTATTCCCTGTGGGATCGACATCCGACTCTCACGAGTCCACTTTTACTACTTGTTTGCGATACGTGCACTTGCGTGTTAGGTATTTAGCATCCAACAGCTACAAAAATGGCGCGAAGCATGGCATATGAACAAATCTCTGCTGGCCGCTCTTGGCTAGGTCAACCTAAACATGTACATTATTACCTGCATCATAAGAACCTAATGAGCTAATGGCTCGGCAAGTTGAAACTGATGTAATAGCAATATATCACATAACACGTTATTCATTCAATATGTACAATATCACATATAACTTCATTCGTGATCCTTTTCTTTGAAATCCTTCTCTTTATCGGGTACCCTTGAAGTGTGGTACTTGACTGATAGCAATAGGCTGTGTTTTACGGAACGTGTTCATCATATTTGGCCAATAGATAATACGGCGGTTTCCATACCGGCCTTTCGACCTCAGGTATTAACCGTATTTCATTTCTTTAATTGTGGGTTTTCCACACTGGTCTTTCGACCTTAGGTATTTGCCACCATGTGTTGGGTCCGCCGGTTCCTCCCGCGTCCCTTGCCTACTCGACCATCAATCAAGTACCATACTCCCATTTTCAAAACATCTTTCATATCACTAACACATCAGTCATTCAAACATCATGGAGAACACGTAGCAAAATTCACATTAAAGCACACATAATTAGGTTCTTATGATGAGAAAATGAAAGCTTCAACTTACCCTCAAGATCAATATGATGTATGAAGTGAAAGGATCAGTCTTAGATAGGGTGTGCTAGAAGCCTTGATTAGAGATGAATTCAAACTTCAAAACATAGGATTTTCAGCTAGAAAAGGTGAAGAACTTGTTCTAGATATACTTCTATGAGTTCTTAGGGTTTGATATTCTCTTATGTGAACATGGAAGTGAAGAAATAAGAAGAAAAGCTTAAGTGAATAGGTCTGGTCGTTTTTGGAAGAAGACAAGTGAAAATGAAGACCAAAACACAAAGTCTTCACTTATCTACCTATTCCC